GGGGGGGCAATGGTGTTTCCCCTGTGTTCGAAGGTTTGTGATCGGTTGGGAGTCGCTTCAACAGAAGAGACTCAAGGAGGAGTAAACCGGTCGACAAAGGGGCGGGGAAGAGGTTATGTGTATTGGGGCAAGTTCAAATGAGAAGCTAAACATTTTGCGATATTGCGAGAAATTTGTAATCATATATGATTACACATACGATACACAAACTTAATCATATATGATTAAACACATGTTGCATTGACAATACATAAACTCTCAATCATATATCATTAAACACATCCAAATAAATGTAATCATATATGATATTAAAATTTTTTGCCCGTCCGCAAAATGATTAATTTTCACACATTCTATTATTCATGGATTTGGTCATTCCATCACAACTGAGAAGAAATTCAACCTCATTTCATTCTATTTTCTCAAAAAGACAAAATTACCTTCTTATTCCCCACTTGATTTACTCATACCTATATGACCTCCATCTGACACACCGTTCCAACCACCACTTATTTAAATCACCATCATCCATCATCGATTTGAATCACTGCCAACCACCATCCGACCTGAACCATGACCGACCACCACCACCAACCACCACGATCTGAACCATCGCCGATCTGAACCATCGCCGACCACCATCGATCATGAATCATCGGTTTGGACACCGTTATAAAAAGGGGTTTGGTCATTTATCGTTTATTCATTCTAATTCTGAAGCTACATTCTGCAAACCAAACAGACAGACTTCAAATCATTTTACAAATTCCATTCCGATTTATTCCAACTAAATGCACAGTCAAATTTCATTCCAATTCCTTCACAATCAAATTCCATTCTTTCAGAAAACATTCTGCGAACTAAACGCCGCCTTAAATGTTCATGCCGGGTTGTCCACACGTCTATTAAATCCATGAGACCCTAAGGATAACAATAAGAAAAATCACATTGATCGAGAAAAATAGACGTTTACTTAGGACGTGTTTGGTAGCGAAAGGGAGTAGAGTGGACAAGACTGGATGAGCAAAAAAGAGGTAGACGGGTGACACAATAATGAAAAGTGACCAGGTTTTAATTTAACAGAGTAATTTAACAATTCACTTATTTTGTTTCATGCCTATTTTGGTGGGACATTTTTTTTGTCATCAACGTCCTGTCTTATTCGATTTAGTACCGTGTCAAAGACGAGACAATCAAATTTTGTTGTAGGGACTATCCGTACATCGTTACTCACAGAACACCTCATTTCTTACCCCTTTCTTATTCATATTTCCCGATAAAAGAGAGGGTATGGAAAATGTTCTAAAAGACTCGTCACAACAACTATCGTAGCGTGCCGTTGCTTAAAACTTGTGTCTGATGCCACATTAAGCCTGTGACATGCTATGACCTAATGCTCGGTTTTTGGACCATATATTTAATTTTTCTTACCTGTTTTAATAACTTACTTGTTAGTTTTTAACATACAACCCTATTTAAATTGTTTAACATCATCGACTAATAGTAAAAAACAAATGTTCATATATATATATATATATATATATATATATCTGATATAAATAATTACTGTCATAAGTTACGTCTTGAAAAAACGTCATAAACTCACTATGACTTCTAAGATTCGAGCATGCCTCACGGTCTGAATACAATGGTTAGAGAAGAAAAAAGAAACAAGTGTTTGAGATTGCTTATTTTAGGCGTTTTTTGACTTATTTCAGTCTGGCACCGGTGATAAGCTAAATGCTAGTGTTTGGATGAGAACAAATAAAACTGCTTATGCCGGTGCCAAACTAGTAATAAACAGTTTTTGATAAGTTATTCATTCCTGACTTATGAAAAACTGCTTATTACCAGTTTATCATTTTAATCCTGTTTTTATTAATGTTTGTTAATTATTAATCTTATTGATATCAATTTTTGTCAAAGATATTATTATAAATGATGAAAAATAATTTTTTTACATGTTAAAAAATCAAATAAGTTAATAAGTAATCCCAAACACTCCCATAAGTCAATAATATAGAAGACTGTCTTTTTTGATCATTTTATATATATAAATAAAATTTGCTAAATACTAAAAAACAACTTATCAACTTATTATTTTTTGGTACCAGTATAAATTAATCTAAACATTTTTTATAAAACTCCAATTGAATCCGATATGAGTTAATAAGGATATTAATAAAAAAACATAAATTATTTAAAATACAACCCTCTGGATACAACTTGTTCTAATGCTATGCGTGTAAATTTATAAGCCCCGTCTTATTGCACTGAAGCGAAGACCTACTCCATAAACATTGGGGAGAGCCAAAGAGACCATCCATCCATCCAAATCATCTCAAACAACTTCCAGAAATGGCCGCCATCTTAGCTCGCAAGTCAATCTCTGCTATTCGTTATCGCCAGCTCGTAAGATCCAACTTTTTTCTCTCACGCACAAAATTTATACGAATTGAATTTGTTAGGGTTTTGAAATCATTATATATCCCCGATCGGAGTTTGTTTTGGGTTTTGATGGATCCAATCGTCGTAGATGGATTCAGTTTGTTAGGGGTTTGAAATGATTTTGTCGAATTATTTGTAGGGCTGAGATGAAACTGATTTAAGGCCACTGGCAATCTCCGGAAACGTGCTACATTGTTTATTTCGATTCGTTATCTGGAAACGTTTCTATGCGCCATATCGTGGTTTTTTCTGCCTTAATATGGTGTAATTCTATTGTCGTTAAGAGTTTAAGGTAGCATTTGTGCTGTATTTACGAAAAAGAATGTGCCATTTTTGTACGGAGGAAGAAGCATGATTTATTCTAGTCTGTTAAAGGTGTCCATACTTAACAGTGAGTGCTGAGACCTTTAACTTGTTCAATTCTAGAGGGATAAAAAAGCAAATACTGATTGACTTTTGACGTCAAATTGCCTGTTTCAACTACAAACCGATTCGAATTTTAATATTTTGTGAGAAAAAAGATTGATAAATGCTTGAATTGGATTCGAATGAGTCAAACTATTTTACTTTTCAAGTTAAACCCTAGTGATGCTTCAGAGCTGCCCTGATTGATTTATTCCACTATATGGATTGTGGGTGTTGAATTCTAAGTTGTAACCTGATCCATGTTAACCTTCTGTTTCAGAATTAATAGATTTAGATTCTAGAATTCAAGTTTAGCTTCTTTTTAATAGAAAAGTCGGAAAAGCATATCCGAGGGCGTGAAACCTTTTTGTATGCCCATCGACGTACCCCTGGTGATCTGTATTCACTGGGCAAACATGACTGTAGAATTTGAACATCATACTGAGCAAATTTCAAGCATTTGAACACTACAGAAAGCATTTGGCTGTAAAGCTAGGTTCTATTTCTGTTTTTTAGCAACGTAGATACTTTTAATCATTTTCATGATTATCTATATCTTCTTTTTATGCCAGGCTTTGGCTGGACAAGTGCTGCAAGGCCCTAACACAGTTTCTGGTGCACGTTCATTTGCAACCAAACACTCCTTTTCCACTGATAAAGGTATCGCTTATGCTGTTAAGTTTCTATCTTACATGATCATGTTTACAACGCATAAATCGATATGTATAACCATGCATGCCATTTTAATGAGAAAAACAGATATATGCTTACTCTTATTGCTTTTGTGATCAAAATTGGTAAAGATATTAACGAATGAAGGTACTTCATACTCCTGCTAATGGCTTTCACTTGCATTGGAAATATCCTTGGTAATGTAGAAAGTAGAATGCTGTTTGTATGTTATCATTCGTTCTTGATTGTGTCTGTTATTACATGCATGCAATGGATATTGAATTATATCACATGCTAAAATGCACTCCCTTTGTTCTCTAGAAGTTGTCATCCTTTTACTCATTTTGACACGGTTCAAGGAACGAGGACTTGTTTTTCCTGGAGCAAAGAGTGTATCTGTTGGCTATTCTTTTAATGTTTATTCCACATTTAGATATTTTATCAGCCATATGTTGTGTTCCTCTTGAAAGAATTTACAAAACTTTGTTATCAAACCTTTGGCTGAACTACTAGTTTGTGTTGCAAGAACATGGTGCATTATGGTTTAGTTGTGTAGTTTCTCAGTTCAGTGAATGTTTCTGCATAGGATCAAGAAAAGGAAAAAACATAAATCAATCATTTTTAATTGTTGTTCTAAACATTAGATCCTTGTTGAAGGAAGTAGCTAATCTAACTCTTAGCTTCTGGTTTGGATTGAGGTATTAAACCCTTTATTTGAAAAACTTATCAAACTCCTTTCAACGGAACGCTCATGACATTGTTCATTTGTTTGAATATTTGTCAGTGTCAAAAGTACTGGCCAAAGAGGGTGCTAAAACGGGCATAATACTTAAGGTTAGCAAGGGTAGGTAATGGTTAGATCTGTGGAGTAAGTGGTGTTATCAGTTGTGTATTCAGTATTCACTTGAATGTTTGGAAGATTGTATTTAGTCGATGTTGGCTGAAAATTGACCTAAAAATTAATAGGTAAAGGACGTAATTGAATGGGGTTCACTCCATGGTTTTAAATCCTCCAAGGTTAGCTTGCTGAGTTTTAGAAAATAGAGTAACTTAGGGTTTCCATATATCTCTACACCTGATTTTCAGAAAGATCAAGTGTTAATCATTGTCAATACATGTATGTGATCCTCCATCTTAACACAGTTACTTGTGCTTGGTATGGTATCACAACAATGAATGCAATGTCATTTTATGCCTAACATCACTCATAAGCATATAGATAACATTTGCAGTAGATTTAACATCAAGGTAGCGTTTGGTATGCATACTCGATGGGATAGGACAGGACTCGACAGGACTAATTGTCTGTCTTATGTTTGGTATGACTAGAACAGGACTGGAATAATTGTTTGTCATGCGTTTGGTAAGCTGGACATGACAGGACAAAATTGTTAAAATGACCAGATTGCCCCTAAATGCTGTTTAATGTTATTTTGCATCATATAATGATTGTAAATGACACAAATCAACCAAAATATATTTATATAATTACATCTATAATATTTACATTATTTTCTAAATTTGTATACATGATTGTAACACAACAATTGTAAAAAACGTACATAATGTAAAAATATTCCAACACAACAATTGTAAATACGTACATAGTTTAAAAAAATTCCAACACAATACACAACAATTGTAAATAACACGTGCCATATCATTATCAAAAGTTTAAATATTCGAAGACAAAAATTGGAAATAGTTGGAGCCTTGGAGGCGTTTGTTTTAGATTTAGGTTAAGAATTAGAAATAGTTGGAGGCGTTTGTTTTAGATTTAGAATGAGAGTAATCTTGTAATCTTTCATTTACCCCCATGTTGTTCCACCTATTTTGGTGGAACTAAAAAAATTAAGTTTTGTCCCATGTGATTTTTGTCCCATGTCATACCAAACATGGGACTATTTTTCTTTCTCCCGCCCCGCCCCGCCCCACCTAGTTTGCGTACCAAACGCACCTTAAAGGTTTGTAAATGTCTCTTTTATGTAAATTTCAATAAAATGTTAAATTGGTTATGACATGGAACATAAAACAAAAACGCACACAATCTTTCGAAAGTAGTCTCTGGCCTTAGCCGCACATTTCTAATTTCATCTCCATCATACATTGGGTTGTTTTTTGGGTGGAAAATAAATAAGAGAAGTTTTTAGGCACTTGGGAGAATGGAACTAGGAAGTTCTCTCTGTAAATTTTTTAGGCAAAAGTGGCTCCTTTGACAAATTTTCTACTTAGAGTATGTAGGAAAGAGAGTGATAGTGTACCCCCTAGGGAATCACTCTTTAATAGGGTGCTCAGGGGAAGAAGGTGGATTGACCTTGTTATTTCAGAACAATTTCTTGTGATTAGTGTAAGTTGGGGGACAAAGTACGCAGAGCGAACATACTATTTATGACTTCTTAGCCGATAATAATCAGTGAAAGAGGTGAATGTGGGCAGACAAATCTTCCTCGTCAAGTTTGAAAATCTTGCCAACTTATGCAACTGGCCCAGCCCTTAGTTGTGTCTGTATGATGTGCATGAAGTGTTCTACTATTGGGGTACAGTCAGCACACTGTCTTTTACAATACCTCAACTGTAGGGGTCTTTTTGGTTGAAGTACCATGGGCATACGGCTTATGGTTAGTCTTCCGCTGATGTCTATGTCTTACCCCTATGGATATGGTTGTGTATGGTTGCACCGTGTAGGTCTAGGCTAATGCCACTTTCTTCAATTTGGCCATAGGGGTATGATATTCATGGATACAACAACGAGGCTATGTTAACCTTGTGTCGAATGATCTGTTTTCAATCTTCCCCCCATTTCATTACTTCTTTATTAATGTTGAAACTAGTGCAGTCTGTGTAAAATATATGTTTAGCAACAGTCTCTCTTTGGCATTACTACTCGAAGGAATTACTACTCACAATCTGTGTAAGAGGATCCTCTTGGCATCTCCTATATGTTTAGTGGGCATGCAACTGTTGCTTCTCAATATATGCATGATACTCAGCCCAACGAGCTATCTTTGTCATCATTGCTCTCATGGCATCTCATTGTTCGAGCTGCATCTCTCTGATCCTATAGAAAAGGGCATCCTTGAAGGCCGTTTGGGCATGACGTCTATGTTGTGTCCTAGAACCCGCATAAACAGGATTGGGCCCTGACTCATCCTGAAATAACCTGTCATCCATAGGGTCGTAATTCATAACCCTCAACGTAGTGGCCAAAAGTGCAATCCACGCTGCTTTCTTCTATTTGAAATGACTTCCGTCTTGAACATTGAAACAGATCATTCCACAGTTTGACCAGTCAAACACTTTTGATTTTTCCCCCAACTTTTCATCTTCTCTTTAGATTATATGTTGCCTGGCTATCAATAAAAGGCCCTCAAGGACTCCAAAAGGGATGGAGCAGCCTCGGCAAGCTACAAACAAAGGGAATTGATCCCTTTTTTGTGTTGAAAAACGAGCCATAAGTTCCACCAAGAAAGAGATACTGGATCTGTCTAACTTCATCATCAAGGCATTCAAAATAATGATGTGCTGAGTTTGTGACACTTGGGGTTCGTCCCCCACATGTTTGTTGACATTTGGAAAACCATTTTTTCATAATATACTTGCCAAAGGACCTACTCCCTGGTCATGACCTCTTTGGCTCTATCGGGTTATGCAAAATCCCAAAGCATAACAAGAGCAACAAATTGCAAATAGTACTCATGAATGATGATAGTGTTCTTCTGTTAGTTTGCGTTTCTTGGTATATGGGAAAGAGTCATCGAGCCTAACAACCCAAAACCATGTCCTTAGGGAGTAGGGACACCGATGAAAGGATTATAATAAATCCATTTACTTTCACCTTTAAAGTCCAAGTTCCTTCCTTTTGCTAAAGCTGATCAATCAACTCAAAGTTGTTGGAACAGTTGGTTTGGAAATCTTGCCAACTTGTAGCAGGCCTTAATCATACCCTTCTGTGTGCATGAAGTGTCCAACTACCGGGCCCTGTTAGCAAACTGTTTCTCATGACACCTGAATTTTAGGGTATGATTTTAGTGAGGGCATCTGTAAAAATACAGCCGTAGGTGCAAGGTTGGCATGTTATTTCCGATGATACCTAAACTGTAGGGGTATGGTTTTTAGTGAGGGTAGAACTTTTTTACAGACTTCTGGAATGTGCCTGTCCGGTTACGGCTGTGCATGGTTGCACCAACTGTAGGCCTATGGTTATGCCATGTGGATTTTCCTTGCGTCAGTTGTAGGGGTACAGTTTGCATGGTAGTAACAACCATGGTGATATGTTATTGGTGGAACAAAAATCACGGAGACACGACAGGATATGTAAATTACTAAACTACCCATGTCAATTTAAAATCTTAAAACCTTCTGTAATTCTTTCACCAGCCTACCTCACTCTCACCAGTCTTGTCTAGTTTTGTCCAGTCCTGTCCGTGTACCAAACGCACCCTAAGGGTATGTATTTGTCGAATGATCAGATATCTTGATCTTCTCACCATCTAAATTGGTATCCATCTAACTTCCTTGCTGTTTTATGTAACTACTTTCTGTACACTTGAAACAAAAATACATGCTTTTATAAAGAATCTCTTCCGTGATCATTTGAGACACACGATAACATAGTTGAATTAATGTTTCTTCTGAGTCTTGTCTTTTGTGTCTGGATGTGTATCCACATACAACCTTGAAACTCCATCTTCCGAGATGCAAATGTTCTATGTTTTTGCGTGGATACATTTGGACTGAACTTGATTTCTTCCGTGCTAATCACAGATGATGAAGAAAGAGAGAAGCTGGCTAGGGAGATCTCAAAAGACTGGAGCTCCGGTACTTCAGATGGAATTCTTTGCCACTTTTGTAGTTTTTTATCATATTCTTTTTTTTATGCAACTTACGGTCCTAATTTGTTGCTAATCATGTTCAGTGTTTGAGAGGAGTATAAACACGCTATTTCTGACTGAATTGGTTCGAGGTCTGTCTCTGACTCTCAAATACTTCTTTGAGCCAAAAGTTACTGTAAGTGTTTGACATTAATTGCTTTAGTGCCATTGCTTGGTTGTTATGCAGATACTAATTACTTAAATGGATTCATATGCAGATAAATTATCCATTTGAGAAGGGTCCTTTGAGCCCTCGTTTTCGAGGAGAACATGCCCTCCGACGTTATCCAACTGGAGAGGAGCGTTGTATTGCGTGCAAACTTTGTGAAGCTGTAAGGTTTACTTTCATTATCGTATTCATAGCCTTTTGTTAGTTGCATTTTGAGCATGCATTCATTTAGTTTATAATTGCAACTTTCCATCATGTTTAATCATTTGCATGTAGTTTTTATGTGGTTTTCTGTAAATTTTTGTTTAATCGGGGAGGTATTTTGGTATTTTGTGGTTCTTGTTTGGGTTTTGACAGGCATTTTTTCTGCACATGTCAGTCTTTTCCTAATATTTTTGATGGATTAACGGCTTATTTTGCATTTACAAGATTTTGGAAAAAAAAGGACTGGATTTCGTTTATATACAGTTGTTTGCATTTCACTTTGCATGAGCCTGTATGATCGTTTATCATGTTATACAAAAGGTTATCATTTTCTATAAAGTGATTTGATGATCCACCTATTTTACATAACAGGTCACAAGTAATGTGGCAAAATGAAGTGAGAACACTTGAAATTTCTCTCATTTCATACCTTGAAGGCTTGAAATGAAGTGCGAAGTGATTCACCTATTTTATACCTTGATAAGAGTCCTGAAATTTATTGCTTCACTTGAATTATCTGGATACATGATATTTACCGAAGCTTATTAGAGCATCTCCAACAGTTTCTTCGTAATATTTCAAAATGGAGAAGCAAAAGTCAAAATCTCTAAAAAATTATAACTCCAATGGGTTTTCTGTTTTAGAGATTCCGACATTGATTTTATAAATAAAATGTTTTCAATAATATAAAAATGTTGTCTCTCTTCTTCCATTTTTTTTGGCAAGTTAGAGCATCTCTCGAGATTCCGCATTTGGAGAAAGCAGGAGAGAGAGAGGGTGAACTTTCCAAAAATAATTACCTATGAAAGAGAAATTACTTTTTGTTGCTTCTACCAATGGGAATCCTTGAAATTGAATGTATAAGAGTGAGAAATATTATTTTATGAACGGTTTTGAATATTTTAATAATATAATTCATATAGCATTCTCTAAAATGGAGAAGCAGTTGGAGATGAATATAATTTTTTTTTGGAGATTTTGTCTTTAGATTCTCCATTTTAGAGAATCCGTTGGAGATGCTCTTAGGGAGGTTTTTTCTTGGAATAATAAAAAATTCGTTCTCTCTCTCTCTCTCTCTCTCTCTCTCTCTCTTTCTCTCCCACTCCATTTAATTTTGGAGGGTTCTCAAAATTTGTAGAATTTTTTCACTCTCTTTCCTACTTTCTCCATTTTGGTCTTTGGAGAAGCTGGTGGAGCAAAAAGAGCGCATAAAGCGCCAAAATCTCTATTTTCTTCATTTTGGAGGAGCTGTTGGAGATGCTCTTATTAGTTCTACATCCTGATGATCACACAATTATCTCATTCTGATTTATTAATCTTTAGAATTGTAGTTTGCGCTAGAGTTCTTTTTTGTTGTCAAAATTTTGGCATTATCTTATCAATTATTCGTTGTGTATTAGATATGCCCGGCTCAAGCTATCACTATTGAAGCCGAGGAACGAGAAGATGGGAGCCGTAGAACAACAAGGTGAAAATAATGCTTGCTACTCTCTCTCCTTTCCTCTCTCCCTCCCTCCCTCCCTCTCTCTCACACACACATTGATTGCATTTCACAGGTATGATATCGACATGACAAAGTGCATCTACTGTGGATTTTGCCAAGAAGCATGCCCCGTTGATGCGATTGTTGAAGGGCCCAACTTTGAGTTTGCTACCGAGACTCATGAGGTTAGTGTGAATATCCCGCTCTTACTATATTAGTCCCTGTGTGATTAACTTTTCGAACCATCGTGCTTGCCAACATACAAAAAGATAAACTATGCACATAGCTGCAGAGTCATTTGGATGAAAGTTGGCAAGCAGAGGCGTTTCCAGAAAAAATTTCGAGCAGGGCACAAAATCATTAACATGATGTAAAATAAAACAAAACAAAAAAAACAAAAGATAATTACAAAAAGTACGATTTAGTTAAAAATGACGTATAAGTGTTTTTTTCGCAACACCCAACTGGTTTTTCCTTTATTTTTTTTTGCCACTACCAAGAATTTAAACAAGAGCCTAAGGGATCCGAACTTGCGACTTGTAATGCCAATATGCAATGACGCTACTGGTATGCTGCAACCACTTTTTGCTAACTTAGGGGGAGCATACATTAAATTAAAGCGGTGCATCTTTAAGACCCCTAGTTCTTTTTCCATTGTGTTGGGATGATAGAGCAGGGGCCCGCGCAGCCCTCGGCCATTACTGGATCCGGCCCCGTTGGCAAGTAAGATGGGTATATTTGCATTTACATGTATACTATTCATCCAGAATACCCGTTCTTAAAGAATGTAGTGTTTACTCTACGTTTTTGCAATGATGGTTCGTTTGCAATAGAAAACCAAGTTGATTACGAGAAAAGTTGATTCGTTAATCCTGTATGTCTGACCAAATTATTATTGTTATTATAGGAACTTCTATATGACAAGGAGAAACTGCTTGAGAATGGGGATCGGTGGGAAACCGAGATCGCCGAGAATCTAAGATCCGAAAGTTTATATCGATAAACGGGGTTCTGGGTTTGTAATCTTTCGAGAATAAAGTGATCTGCCGTCGGTCATGAAGATGGTTTATTCTGTAATATGTTTTGATCTCGAGGTTGTAGAAACCGTTGATGTCAATAAAGACTGTTGTGGTTTTCTAAAGACGTATACGAGCAAATGGACTCGTGTAGGACGTCTTTGACTCCTCGGTTCGTACCTCTACGAAAGGTACGGGCGGCTTTTAAGGTAAACTCTACATGTTTTGAGTTGAGCAGTGTCAGTTAGAAGTTCATGACCCAAAAGTAAACATCTACTATTTGGGAAGTTGTCTTCATATATAAAAACTGAGCACATACAATTTCATTCTTTTTCATGTTTTAAGAGGTATTTAGATGTGCTTTCTTTTTTCAAATATTATTGCAACTTAAAAATGTGTTCAGTTATTTGATTAAAATTAGGAATAGTTTGAGCTTGACTCCAAAGGTCAAAAGTACCGGGAGGCCTCAGGTTTAAATCCAAGGAGGAATAAAAATCCTTTTGTGGCCACGGAGGTTCAAATGCGGTGACTCCAGGTTATCTGCAAAACATGTGGTTGTTCAGGGATTAGTTAGCTTGCATAGCGGATTGGATATTCAAGTTAATAAAAAAAAAATTTAGGAATAGTTTTAAGTAGGGATATATATGGTTTGGATTGATTGGGTTTTAAACATTTGAACAACCCAATCTAATATTACCTGGTTTGAGTAAATCTCAACACAACCTAATCCAAGTAAAACTACAACCCAACCCAACCCAACTTAGACAGTGCGGGTTGGGTTGGATTGTTGGGTTGAAACTTTGGTATATAATTTTATAATTTAGCTAATCGTATGTGTTTAAACAAAGTAACATCAAAATTAGAAGATACAAAAAAAGGCTAACAAACTCAAAAGAGGTTGAAAGTTCATGCAAATAAGAAGGTAAGTTACAGTTAAAATTATAATATAATTTTTGAATATAACTAATTATGGGTTGGTTTAATGTTTAATTTACATATATTAACTATGGATTTAACAATCACATTAAAATCATGATATAAAAAATTATTGGGTTAGATTGTGTTCAAATTATCCTAATCCAGTTTCAACCCAATAAATTGAATTTATCCTAATTGATTTTGGTTAAAATTTATTTTGTTAAATTAACATTTTTTAATATTTGATTATTGACCAAATACCAGGTATAAAATCACGTTAGGCATTGAAATGGATTTATATAGAAGAAGTTTACTCCTGCAAAAACGTACATTTTGAGATGAAGTACTTAAATTATCTGCTTTTTCATAAACCTGTCATAATTATTGCCCCCAAGAAAGGCTAACAATATTCAGATTACCAGTAAAGACCACCTTCTAAAAGGTCAGTAGTTCAAATCTCACCAAAGATTAACAGTGTATGAGTTTATTTGCCGTAAATAAATATTATTATTTTAAAGAGAATTCCGTAAATGAAGGAAAGGAGATGCAATCTCCCAACTTGCCCGGTTTCTATGGAAAAGAGTTATATATAAGATCAAACTGTATCCTATCTTTTTTTTTTGTAAGGGTGTCCGGGCCAAAGCCCGACTAATCCCCGGCAAATTTGGAGGCTAAACATGGCCCCACTTAAATGTCGCCAACACTCCCCTCCCAGAGCTCGAACTCGGGTTCATGACTATGCCATGCCCAAGCCTTTACCACTAGGCTGGAAGGTCTTTGACACTGTATCCTATCTTAACAGGTAATTTCTTTTGTTTGATCTCAAATGATCATGGTACATTGTGAACCCAAATGATCCAATATACAATGGGTTGTCTTGGTGAAAGGGAAAATTGCTATTATATTATTAAACCCTACACTAGAAAAAAAAATCAACAACAACAAACTTTTAACGGAATTTACAACGTATTCGGTTAGCCATACACGATTGTTTGTTAGTGGCTAAATGATAGAAAACAACTTATTTAGAAAGCCAATTTTTTTCTCCAAACCTACTTCTTCTAATTAAAAACATGCTCCTTCCATCTATGAAAAAACCATCTCAAACAAAAACCTTCTCAATCTATACAGACAAATTAATCCATACAGACAACTTTATTTATACAAGCTTAGTGGAAAACCAACCAAACAACCCCTACAACACTTAAACTTAGTTTTTAGGACATTCTGATATAATAGTTTTGAGTAAGTGTCCTAGAAAAAAGCTAACAAGACTTTTAGGTTGCTCAAGTACGTCTTAACAACTTTTTATAAGGACAACACTTGTTAAATTGTCGAATTTTGTCCTCACAACTTATTGTATTATAAATATAGAACTAGTTAGGTTGTTCAACTTTGTTTCGACTACTTGTTATAACGTCTTTGCCTAAAACATATATTTGTTAGACCTACAAACTTAAAATTTACATTAAGCAGGGGGGGTAAGATGAACGGGGCTAAGTGATCTGCCGAAGCTGTGGGATGTAAAAGTACATCGGTAGGGAAGCGTTCCGCCTTAGAGTGAAGCACCTGCACGAGCAGTAGTGAACGAAGCGAAAGCGAGAATGTCGGCTTGAGTAACACAATCATTGGTGAGAATCCAATGCCCCAAAAACCTAAGGGTTCCTCCGCAACGTTCGTTCACAGAGGGTGAGTCAAGGCGTAAAATCAGGCTGAAAAGCGTAGTCGATTCCTGTATACTACCCTAAGATAACAAAAAGTCAAAAAGTGGTTGCAACTTACGATAACATCATTCATGTAATACTATAGATTGCAAGTTCAAATCCCTTTGCTTCTTTTAATTTTTTGGTAACAAAACAAAAACGATAAAAAAATCTACTTGGGTGTTAACAGGAACCCACTGTATGTCATTTTTGACGAAACCGTATTTTTTATAATTAATATTTGTTTTATTTTATTATTTTTATATCATGCTAATTATTTCTATGCACCGACTTGATTCTTCTGAGTCTGCCACTAAGGGAATGTTTACTTACAGGTTAATGAGCTTAATGCTCTAGACACCTTATTCGTTCAGCCATACAGTACTGTTTCTTTACAACTTAAACATTATGCTATTAAGCCAAAATGGCTATATGGAATAAGCTAGGATCCCTCATTTGTCTCCATTAAGCCATCTCAAACAAATTGATATAAGAAATGTTCTAGAAATAATCCAATCCTATCTCTTTATCTCTGTCAAACCCATCAATCTCCCGTCCCTCAAACAGACATATCTTTCCAAACATACGAACTTAATTCAAACAGGAAAACTTAACTCCTAAGTATTCTACTAAGCTTTTTTGTTATAGTATATCAACTCTATTATGATATTCGAGAGTTTTTATAATTTTTTTTTGTTTGTAAGGGTGTCCGGGCCAAAGTCCGACTAATCCCCGACAAATTTGGAGGCTAAACATGGCCCCACTTAAATATCGCCAACACTCCCTTTCCAGGGCTCGAACTCGGGTTCATGACTATGCCATGCCCAAGCCTTTACCACTAGGCTGGAAGGTCTTTGACGAGTTTTTATAATTTTGAAGGCTAAAAGTGGAGTCATGAAGGTAACATTTATGAGAATAGTATTTCTCTGCTACAAAATATGCATTAAAGAGACAAAAGCATATGATTCTATGTTGCCTTTTTCAACACAAATAAAATTCAGAGACAACATGAGCATATGAAGATTCTATGACCCAGGAATAAAATCTTTTCCTTGGTACTCAGAATCTTCTCATTATGCGTACGGATGTTCTAACCTCATCTATATACATATTATGATCTGTTTGTTAGCATTTTAACGAACTTAATAGGATTTACAGTTTATTCAGTTAGTTATATATGACTAGCTTATTTGGTAAGCTTTTAGGAGAGAGCTTTATGTAAAAAACTAAGTTTTTTTTCTTCCTAAACTGCCCTTTCTATCTACGAAGAATCCTTATCAAACAAACACCTTTCTAATTTATACAGACAAATAAATACACACAGACAACTTTATCCATATAAGACTTAATGGAAAACCATCCAAACAGTATCATCATCAGTCATCACACAATCAATATCATTTTTAATGTATGATTTAATTTTGATATAAATAGTTCCATATAGATGGTGTGTGATGATTGAGGAATTGGCAACTTTTATAAGTTAAAATATGAAGAACTCTATTTGATTACTTTTCAGAAAATCATTTCAGGAGAGAAATGAGATTTCAACATATATTTAGAAGATATGGTTCAACTCTAGCCGACGTGGGACTCCAACATGCTATTTCCAATGTAAGCTAGAGGGATAAAAATTGTACCGAAGTATAAGAGGGGGCTAGAGAGACATATCTTATCCCAAAAGTCGAGTTAGTGGTAGACATTGACTCTGATACCATGTCAGAATATGCGGAACCCATCATATTAATCTCTTTGGGAGGAAATAAATGAGTATTAGAGTCCACATCAATTAAACTTGAACCATTGTTCTTGAATATATGTTCAAACCTCCATTCTCTTCAAAAACTCATTTGGAAAGTAAATCAATCAAGAGACTTGACACTCTAGAGCAATATGTACTCATCTGACCCCCTCTACACAAATGGAAAAATCTCTGTCCGTCTAGCCTCCGTTGCAGGGGGTGTGTTAGAATCCCACATTGGCTTAGACTCGAACCATTTTTCTTAAATATGCGTTGAAACCCCGTTCGCTTTTCAATGGCATACATAAACTGGATTCCTATTTGCTTTATAGCCCATCATTAAACTCTTATCATAAGGCATACATAAAGTTCAAAGCAGGAGGTCAATTTCATCAACTTGTTAGATGGACCATAACCACAAAAATCTTTTGGAGATATAGATTCATAAATGCTACTTTATATGCAATGAAGTGATGAATCCACATATAAATACAAAGATGCATCTTCATCTTGCTTTGTATATAGTTTTAGTCATTGTAAAGATTCCTAAAAAAAAGTTACGTCACGCATATTTTGTGTCGGCATCGTTGCAGCCCCATTATCAGGTGGCCAAGATCCCTTACATGTGGCTTGTGGGCAGTTTACTAAGTGGTTATAGTCTTTTACGATATAATGTTGTTTACCAACATCTTTTACTAGTAAATGTTGCTGACGGATATGGTGACCTGGTAAGAATGAAGAGACTTAGGTGGATTTTGTTTTCTAAGAGGTGCTATAAAGTCTGAAGTCTGATTTCACTTTTGATTCATAAGAGGTGGTCCTGAAGTCTGAAATCTGGATCAGTAAAATTGTTTGTTTTTACGTCTGAAGTCTGAAGTTTGAATCGGTCAAACTAGTGAAAAAATATAAAAGATAAATAGTTTTTTTTTACAAAAGTATAAAAAATGTATAGCTTTTGCTAACAAATCTCTTCCAACCTCCAAAATATGAATCATGTGATAGAGGACG